TTCTGGTCGTGCAGGATGCAAAAGTCGCCGAGGGGCCGCAGGTAAATAAAAATGCCAAAGGGACACCTTTCCTTACGTTTGGTTTTTATATATATATAAACGTTATATATATATAACGTTTGGTGTTGGGGGGGGGGGCGGTCCTGCAAAATTCAGCCGGATAATTTTGAACCGTAGAGGGAGATTGTGTCGGGAGGGGAAAACCAAATTGTATACTTCTCTGAGAGATTTTTTAAAAAAATCCTACCGACCCCTTGAACAATTTCTTGGAGGGCGGGGAGGGTATTCGTAATCATGATCAATGTGGAGATCCCCCCTCGTAGGACTGGCGCCGGTGGCGAAGGAGAGGAACGCTGCTTCCCTGTGCCGCAGAGAAAGCCAGCCTCTTCTTCCCCGAAGCCTGGGAAATGGTCTCGCGGTGGCATCGGAAGCAGCGGCGCGGGCCGGACTTGCGCGCAGGAGGAGGAGGAGGAGGAGGGCTCTCCCTCCGCACCAGCGGTGGTGGGCCCGGGGGTGGGGGGTTCATGATTCTCTCGAGGGGGAGCAGCTCGGCCCTGGACGTCCGCGCGGGCTGGGACAGGGGCCCCGCGGGCTAGGACGGCCAAGGGGCAGAACCGCCCCCTCGTTGACGGCGGGACTTTGGGGGCAGGCCGAGCCCCTCCGAAGCCCGGGCCCCCGGCGCGGAGGCCAGCCTCGTCGACCCGGGCGGCGCTCAGAGGGTTTCGATCCGAGGCCACGAGGACTCCGCCGGCTGGAAGGCGAGGGAATCCCCGGCCAGGGTGCCGGCCGGCCTCCTCTCGCCCCGACGGCAGGGCCGGGCAGTCGGGGCCTTCGGTTCGGTCGGATTCTGCCGCTGCCGCCCCCGGTCGGGCAGGGGATTCGCGACCTTGCGCCTCCCTCCGCCCACCGCCTAAGGTGGAGAGGGGGTCGCTGCCGGAGCGGGGCGAGGGGCAGGGGGTCTCCCACTGCCGCCGAGCCGGGCATTCGGGGTTCTTCGGAGGGAGAGGGCGAGATTCACACTCCGCTCAGCCTTGTCTGCGCCTGCCGAAGAATATGCCGCAGCGGCGGATGGTTGGGAGGCGGCAGGCGGAGGATGCTCTGGAGGCTGCGACCACACAGCCTAAATAATCCGCGTTCAGTGCACTTTCCCACCCTTCCGCGTCCTCATTTTCGTCGCTCGTTCGTCCCTATTGCTTTGGATCCCACATGTGTTTTGCTCCCTCTGGGACTACGAGAGAGAGCAAAACACTCGGGGTGGGGGTGGTGGTGGCCTGAAGGAAGGGTGATGAGACTCAGAATGCGGAAGAGGGAACTGGCAACATCCAGTTGGAAAGTGCCTCTAAAGTGGATTATTCCGTGTGCGGGATCGCACGGAAAAAAGGAAGCCAGCCAACCTCGCCATTTCACCACACAAAAACTCTGGCTGGGGCGCCCCCTGGAGGGAGGGCATCGCTCACTCTCGTCCCTGTTTCTCTCGACGGGCCTGGAAGCTTTTCCCCTGCGAGAGGAGAAAGCAAAGTCCCCGCCAGCCGACGGCAGGCTGGCCCGGCACAGTCCACTTCTGGGCTGTACCACCGACCGCAGTCAACTCCCGCCAGCGTCTGCGAGCCGCCTCCCCTTCCCCGCTCCTCCCGAGGTGGGAGGCCGTCGCTGTAGCTCAGGCGCTGCCGGGAGGGGCGCTGGATGGATGGATGGTGCAGGGGCCCCCCCGCCGCCGCCGCCTGGCCAGGCCTGGCGAGGAAATCTCGGGGCGCCTCCGAGGCTCTCCCCAGCCCAGCCGCCCCCCCCCTTTTGTGCGAAGCTGGGGTGGGGGGGGGGGGACTGGGCGCAGAGTCCTCGATTCAAGGGTCTCCTTTGGGCATAACCAAGTGCCGTCCAGCCGCAACCGACTTGGGGCGAGCCCCCGTGGCCCGGGTTGCAACAAGGCCAGAGAGAGGCGGCTTTGCCGTGGCCTGCCTCTGCGTAGCAACCCTGGGCTTCCCTGGTGGTCTCCCATCCGTGTCCTGATCCGGGCAGACCCTGCTCAGCTTCCCAGCCCGGCCTGGTCGGGGCTGCCCTCAGCCGCTGGTGCCGTTCTCAGCCCCCCCCCCCCCCGCAGCAGCGGCTGCTGCAGGCTTCGCGGGGCGCCTGGGAGCCCAGGGGACCGAGGCCTCCAAAGCCCAGTCTCCAGGATGGGACCGACCTGTGTGCGAGAAGGCCGCTTTTCCAAAGGCCCTCCGCTGCAGGCAGATGTAGGAGCCTTCCCTCCCTTCCCGGGCAGGCCGCTGGCCAGGGCCCTTCCCTCATCTTGAAAGGAAAAAAGGACAAAGAGACAAAAAGTGAGGGAAGGCTGAAGTGTAAAAGTCACAAGTTAATGATGTGGTGGAATGGAGGACACCGCTGGGTTTGAAGGAAGTGAGAAAGGTGCCATCATGCTACCTGCCTCTTCTGTCTGGAATTTCCCACCTGGAACATTTACAACAGAGAGTGGAGGACACCGGGCAATTGGAGATCATACTTTTGGATACTCCCCAATGGTTAAAAAAATCGGGGGGGGGGAGAAAACTAGTACAGGAAGCTAAGAGATGGAAGAAAGGTGTTCATGTGATTTTTTTTTTAAAGGAAAGGAATATCCCGAGCAAGAATCCACCCCTTGCCTTCTGAGGTCCTGGAATCCCTTCCACAAGGCATCATCCCCCTGTAAGTGTGGCACACAGGCACAGGGCCCAGGCAAGCTGTAGTAGGCATGTGTCGATGCAAGCCAGGCAGCTGCTGCACTAAATGCTGAGCCCAGCCAGGCCAGAGTCTTTGGGACTTGGGTATTCATGGAGCTGAGGGGGAGAGAATAGTCATTCTTGATGCAAAGAGGAGTCAAACATCCTTTGGCCTCACAGGCTTTGGGGGAAAGGTAAAAGTGCAGGAGCCTCCATAGCCAGTAGCAGCGGCATAAGCCAAGGCTGCACAAATCAAGGTGATGCCCCATGCAACTTAAAGGGCATCCATTCATGGGCTGGGCAAAACCACATGGTAGAGTTGACCTGGAGGGGGGCATTTTGGGGAGGGTGGAGTAAAGGATTTGTGTGTCTTATTTGTTCACAAACACAGGACAAGATCTGCCTGTCAGAAACTAGCAGACCAGGGAGGCTGCTAAACTGACTTCTTTTTGACTGGATAGGGCTTTACAAATGTACAAGGGAGTTCATTTCTGTGGGGGAGAATTCAGATCCACACACCACAGCCTCTAAGATGAAGGGGTATATTCCAGGAACGCTTGACCGGGTGACTTTGCTGTGAGTATTCAGAAGCGTGGAGGGGAATTCAAAGTTTTGGACTGCAGTGGCTTCCTCCTCTTTGGGATGGGGCCATCAGTGCAAACTGGGAAGCAGGAAACAGACGCCTTCTGAGAGGGAGGGATTCCTCTTGCATCTAAGAATAGCTGTGGTGCTTGGGCTATTGTCTGCAGGAGGGAAATGGCTGTCCAGGGCCTTGCCAGTGCTCAGCAACTGGACTGAATGGTGGCTACCGGTTGGAGGTGGTACTGCTAGTGCTAGGAAGCCTCTAGCCCATGCGGAGAATGGTCTTTTCCAGATGCATTAGCTGAAGATGCCAGAAATGGCGCAAAGCTGGCACTCAGCTGTGGCTGGTCCGAGTTACAGAAACAAGGACACTGGGAGAAACTTTTCCTTGTGAGCATATGAAACGGCCTTCTTTCATGTTTGTCCCATTCAGCTCAGCATTACCTGTGCCTCGGATAATGAAAAGTCTTTCCCAGCACCTAGGATCCTGCACCTAGGGATGTCGTAATTTGTACTTCTGCATGTACTCCTCCCCT